AGCAATAGAAATGGTTAGAAAGATTTAGTTTTCAGAAACTCTCATATTCAGCACGAACGCTGCTACGTAACACTTTGTGAAGGTATGTGGATGACCAGGTAAAGTACCAAGTCGATCTCAGCAATAGAAATGGTTAGAAAGATTTAGTTTTCAGAAACTCTCATATTCAGCACGAACGCTGCTACGTAACACTTTGTGAAGGTATGTGGATGACCAGGTAAGAACCAAATGGTTCTCAGCAATGAAATTGGTTAGAAAGATTTAGTTTTCAGAAACTCTCATATTCAGCACGGACGCTGTTACGTGCCATACACTTCGTGAAGATATGTGGATGACCACATAACTACCAAGTGGTTCGCAGCAATGGAAATTGTCAGGAATATTTTGTTTCCAGAAACTTTCATATTCAGCACGGACACTGCTACGTGACACTTTGTGAAGGTATGTGGATGACCAGGTAAGAACCAAGTGGTTCTCAGCAATAGAAATGGTTAGAAAGATTTAGTTTTCAGAAACTCTCATATTCAGCACGGATGCTGCTACGTGCCATACACTTCGTGAAAATATGTGGGCGACCACGTAAGTACCATATGGTTCTCAGCAATGGAAATGGTTAGGAATATTTAGTTTCCAGAAACTCTCATATTCAGCACGGATACTGCTACGTGACACTTCGTGAAGATATGTGGATGACCACATAAGTACCAAGTGGTTCTCAACAATGGAAATGGTTAGGAAGATTTAGTTTTCAGAAACTCATATTCAGCACGGACGTTACTACGTGCGTTACACTTCGTGAAGGTATGTGGATGACCAGGTAAGTACCAAGTTGTTCTCAACAATGGAAATGGTTAGGAAGATTTAGTTTTCAGAAACTCTCATAATCAGCACAGACGCTATTTATGAAAAATTAAAAAGGGTTTACAGTTATCATCTAAAACTTAGATTCTAAAAAAAGTTACATTTTTCTTCTCAAATTATTTAAATTGTCATTGGAAATATCTAAATCAGATGGCCTAGATATATCATTATACAGTCTAAACATTCTGCATAATGCTGAATCAATGCGTGATAAAATTAGAAATGAGGATATCCGCAGTAGAACCAGAGTGACCGTCATAGCCCAACGGATTAGTAAGCTGAAGTGGCAGTGGGCCGGCCATATAGCTCGAAGAACCGACAACCGATGGGGAAGAAAGGTTCTTGAGTGGCAGCCTCGTACCGGTAGGCGAAGTGTAGGGCGACCCTCCACGAGTTGGAGTGACGACCTGATAAGACATCCAGGAAGTCGATGGATGCAGGTGGCTCAGGACCGTGCTTTGTGGCATTCCTTGGGGTAGGCCTATGTTCAGCAGTGGACTTATTAAAGGCTGTAATGATGATGATGATGATTTCCAGTAATTGAGGACAGTCGATGCCATTATTGAACAGTTAGTAGAGGAAGCTCAAATCCAAAAGCTTTCGCCTGTTATACAAGGAAGATATACAGAAATGCGTTAGCCGTTCATCATATGAAGTTAAGGTGCGATGACGGTTAAATTTTAATGCTAGCATACAAAGAAACCTCCGCTGTACTCATTCGATTCCACTCTTATGAACCTCATAGAAAGGAGACCAAACTTGAGAACAATATTCAAGGTTGCTCCGAACTAAGCTGTGAAAGAGTAGTAGGAAAGTTTGAGTATATCTGAACTGTTTGGTGTTTCTATCTAAAAATCCGCATATTTTGGGCGCCTTCGTTATAATACTGTTTATAATATGTGGTACAAAAGACAGTTTACTATCCAACAAAACGCCCAGGTCTCGTATACACTCCACTTATAATGATGATCTGGTTTATATGTGTAAGTGCTAAATTAAGTAAAAGAGGAAATAAACTTTGCATACTTTTTAATTATTTTATCTTAACATGTTAGGCACACCATAAATCTGTCAAGATTAAATCAACCGTTGAATATTTTGTGCAAGTTAAAATTCATTATAATCTAAGTATCGTGAACAGGTTGGTTGATCCGCTTCTGGAATTACTGGTGTTGATGATCGTGTCGATTCTTGATATAAGGAGGAAAGCGTTGTGTTTGTCTGCTCAGCAATTGGAATTATGCGTTGTATTTTCCTCTTGGAGATTTCAAGTTTTTGTTTCTTTTCTTTTTTCTTTATGGCTTCAATTATATAGATTGGATTACGTATTTCCATATTTCTGGTATGTCTGGGGTCTAAAATTTCAGGCAATATACAATTTAAATAAAAATTACATAACTTTGACTTCATTTTATTTTCAAAACAATCATCATCCCTATAAATGACTTCCGTTTTCAGTGGTTGCGACTCACTGAACCATACAGCGAATACACATTTTGCTTTCCGAGTCACGTGTAACTGCCCTTGTACTTGATAGAACCAGTTGTGATTTTTATTTATCTTTAAATTACCTAATTTGTCTTTAATCCAAAAATTTACTTTTTTTTTTGTAATAGCTTCCTCTAGTCCTGTCTTAAATGCCGTTATTGGACACTTAACCTCCACTATTGTTTCTTCGTCTATAATCCCATCTGGTGTGGCCCCCAAATACGGAATTTCGGGATCTATATAAAGCCCGCAAGGTCTTATATACACTGTTTCTTGCGTAGATAATTGTTGTAGCGCTTTTTTTTCATATTCTCTTCCGTGCTGCATAGGAACAGCATCTATATTAATTTTGTATAGCAATTGCTTTACTATATTGGCACAACTAGTATCTGGCCTCATTTTGATCACTTTGCCAAAGTTCGAAGCTGTCAACAACGAACGTCTAAGTTCAAGCCATTCGCTAGACTCGCTTTGCAAAATGGTCTGCCGCTCAATCCGTGTTCTTTCTTCTTCACTTTTTTTTGAAGTGGATAGAAAAGTTTCCTTCATTAAATTAAGAACATCATCACTCACATCCGGCTTAGAGCTTTGTTCACCATAATCTTTATTTTGAGTTATAGCGTCACACGTCTTCTGTGGCTTTTTATAATTGGCGCGTTTCTTCAAGCCTCTAAGTTTCCGATACTTATTATCTAAAGTGCTCATTCGGCCTTTAGGGCTTTTGCCAACAATTGTTTTGTACAATATTGTAGTAGGTTTTCTTTTAGTATTGAACGTAATTGCAGAAGCTGAACACCTAGTTTGATAGCCGCGCCTCAGAGAGTAATTTACTCTTTTACCCCCAACTAATTTGGCCACAACGCTGTGAAAACATTCTACGATATTACTATCAATATCATGAACAAGACTTCTTGAATGGCCAGCAATACTATTTATAATAAAACATATTCTCTGCCATAAAGAACTTGTGAAAAAATCCGCCAGTACTGATTCAGTTTCAGTTTGACGACAATTACAGAAATGGTTTTTACAGTTGGTGTGGTTCCCGAAGGCATGTAAATATACAGTTTGAATGTCCTCAAAAAGTTTGTAAGTGCAAAAATCTATAGTCTCTGTAGAATCATGATATTTTTTGATGCATTTTCTAATTGTGGACCTAATAGTCACTATGCGTTTTTTCGTAATTAATTTTCTAAGATGTATGGGATATTTTGTATCTGTGATCAGGTTTTCCAGTTTGTTGCACAAGTTTCTTAAAAGGTGATTTCTGCACTCTACTTTTTCAACTGTAAATTGAGGGTAAGGTCTTGCTTCTAATATTTTAGAGTACGTGCTAGAATCTCCGTCAGATATTAGACGTCCATAAATCAGACCGTACATTTCAACAGATGATCTAAAACCTTCTACTATCAGGGTAGATTCCATGGCAGTAGAAGCACCCGTGAAATTTTTGTAACACTGATGAGCTCTCGGAGTTTGATTTTTGTTACAATCTTGCGCACATATGCTGCAGTACTTATTTTTAACACCGTGAAACAAAATTTTTTTCGTTTCTTTTCGATTATGGCAGCAGCTCCTGAAAGTGCTGAGTAATTCTTTTTATAAGACCTCTTACTCCAGCATCCATCAACAATAACATCTATAATAGGTATGCCATCAGTGGTCACACGACCTTTTTCTAAAGCAATCTTTTTTTCTTCTTCTGCGGCTTCTTGCATGGATTGATCAAGTGCTTTTTCCCAGGCGTTAGAAACAAACTCGTGCTATTTTTGGTACAGAGGCTCAGTCATCATAGGTAAATCGATCGCTGATAGTAATTCCTCTAATTGTGAGTAGCCTATACCAACAGAAACTGCACCGGCAACCGCAGCTGTATTTATGTCCAGATGACCGGAGACATTTAGAATATACTTTTCTTTACACATCGTCGCACCAGCGATTGATTATGTATTTATTTCCAGATCACCTGGGACATTATTTAATATAAACTTTCCTTTACACATTAAACACTCTAGAGCAGCGGTCGGCAACGCGCGGCCCGCGGGCCGCATGCGGCCCGCTGACGTTCTACTTGCGGCCCGTGAATGTTATGTAAATAAATCCTAATAATATCAAAATAGATGCATAAACGAACGACAAACATATAGCGTATAGCTATAGTCAATATTGTATAACGCGCTTCGCTCTGCCCGCGGATGAAATGTGCATATATCAGAGATTAGTTTTTTTTTTACCTTGAAGCCTGACATTTAGCGTATTTAACATAACTGTAACATTAAAAGTATTATGTTGTAGCAAACATTATAAGTGTAAAATAAATAGGAATCTCGGACTATCTGTCCGCCGCGCGCGAACCCCGCACAACCGTATAGTAGTGTGGAACCCGCTTCGCTTGGCTCGCGAATGAACAATAATTAATGAACGACGCGCGGGAGGGGCGCGGGCGGAACAAACGAACGTTAGCGAGGACAGTTGCTTTCCGCTCTCCGTCAATTACCTACTTTGATGCGTGATTAGTGAAACAATTTCATTTGTTGCGTTTTTGTTTTGATTTCGGTAAGTGTGAGATTACTTTTTATTATACACTTTTGATAGGTACCGATCTACATAAGCTTGGTCTGGTAATAATGCTTTTATTGTTACAGTTGATAATGGCTTCTAAAAAAAGGAAGTTAGCAGAAGAAAATAGGGTATTTAACGATGCATGGACAGATTTATACTTTTTTATTAATTGCAATGGCAAACCGCTATGCTTAATATGCCAAAAAACCCTTACTATACAAAAAGAATATAATGTCAAACGCCACTATGATAGCGAGCATAAAGCTAAATTTGCATGCGTAGTGGGTGAATCACGAAAAAATAAAATTAACGCACTGAAATCTTCAGTTAAGAATCAACAAAATGTTTTTAAGGTTCAAGTACAAAGTAACGAGTCGAATATACGTGCAAGTTTAAGGGTAGCGGAAATTCTTGTGAAGTCTGGCCGACCATTTACCGACAGCGAACTTATAAAACAATGTGCTTTAGTCATGGCTGAGGAGGTGTGCCCCGACCTAAAAAAAAAATTTGAAAATATAAGTCTTTCTGCAAGAACGTGTACCCGGCGAACTGAAGATTTGGGCGATAATTTATGTCAGCAACTCCGGGAAAAAGCACAACAATTTGAATGGTTCTCTTTAGCTACCGATGAAAGTAATGATGTTACTGATACTGCCCAGCTTTTAATATTTGTTCGCGGAATCGATAAGAACTTTAATGTCTATGAGGAGCTTTTACATTTATGTAGTTTGAAGGGCACGACTACCGGAGAAGATTTGTTTTGTAACTTAGAACAAGCGCTAGTATCAATGCAATTACCATGGGAAAAATTGGTAAGTGTTACAACTGACGGAGGCAGGAACATGAGTGGACAAAATAAGGGTTTGGTAGGTAGAATCAAATCGAAACTGGCAGAGATAGGATGTGCCATCCCATTATTTTTCCATTGCATCATCCACCAAGAAGCGTTATGTTCCAAGGTCGTATCATGGAAAGAAGTAATGGACATCGTGGTATCGACTGTAAACTACATCAGAAAAAATGGATTGACTCATCGTCAATTTCAACAGTTTCTGTCAGATACGGAAGCAAATCATCGAGATGTTGTTTATTATTCTGAAGTGCGATGGTTAAGTAGAGGCGCAGTGCTAAAAAGATTTTTTGATCTCAGAAAAGAAATCAATACTTTTATGAATGAAAAAGGCAAATCTATTCCAGAGCTGACAGACACTCAATGGTTAATAGACCTTGGATTTTTGACAGATGTAACTCATGAATTAAATACGCTAAATGTGAGGCTTCAAGGTAAAAAAAACTAATTTCTGATATGTACACAGACGTAAAAGCATTTCAAATGAAAATTAAACTCTTTATAAAACATATTGACGAAAAAAGTTGGATCATTTTCCGAATTGTAAAGAGGCTGTTGAGGAAGCTGGAATTAATTTTCATTGGAAAATTGATAAAATGAAGGATATTTTAATACAACTGCAATCTCAATTCAGCGACAGATTTGGTGATTTTGAAAAAGTTTCAAGTAAACTGAAGGTGTTTGCAAACCCTTTTTCATGTGATATTGAGGAAGTACCGAGTAATTTACAAATGAACATGATTGATCTCCAGTCTAATGATGTTCTTAAAAGCACTTTCTATGAACTCAAAGATCTTGTTAAGTTTTATGGTAGCTTGCCTTCTGATTTTGACGAATTGAAAAAGTTTGCTCAGCAGTTCATTACAATTTTTGGTAGCACTTATTTATGCGAACAAACTTTTTCAATTGTCAATTACAGAAAAAATAAATGTGCATCTCGTCTCACAGATGAGCATTTGAGAGCCATTCTACGAATTGCAACTACAAATATGACAGCTAACATACAAGAAATAGCCTCCCAAATACAACCTCAGACATCACACTGAAAGTATATTAGTAATTTTGTAGTTTTAATTTCTATTTTAATTCCGTTATTTTCTAGCTATAAATGTAATGTAATTACATGTACGAATTAAATTCCGTATGTTTTAACAATTTTAATGGCATTTTCATTTTTTCTATGGGATTTGATGAATAAATAAGTGTGTAAATCACAAGTGCGGCCCGCCTTTAGTTTATTTTGCCACCGCTGCTCTAGAGTAAACTTGGATGACAATCCAACTCGTTTCTCTCCAACAATTTTTAAACTTTGTACTCCACAGTTATAGGGGCTATGATTGCTGATTTCTTGCAATTTTGAAAAAAAGTATTTTATATCAACAATTCGTCTGCCAGATATATTTCTTTTTTCTGTTACTGGTTGATTCTTCTCAATAGTTAATTCCGGTAAAATGTCATCTTGTTGAAGCTGAAAACAAAATAATTATCATGTAATACATTGCTAAATTCATATAAAAAAAAACTTCCGTTTATAATATTATCTTGGATAGGATGTGTCGAATTTTATGGGTTCCCAGACTTGTCGGTTTCCTCAATACGTTTTTGTTTACCAGAAACGAATGGTTATCAATGCGCAATGGGGATCTGGAGTCAAAGTTCAATTTAACAACATTAAAAATAGAATAGCACTCTTAATTGTAAAAAGTAGCTACCGTAATATCCGGCAACGAAGTCTCCTAATCAACTGCCATACCGAACGGATCGTGAGTTTCTGCAATAGTCGTAGATGAATGTAATGCATTACATTCAGTTGACGGATCTTTCCCCTGATTTTCTGAATGGGATTTCTGCTGATTTCTCAATTGCCTAAAAACATAAAGATACATTAGAAATATTATCGCAACAGATACTCAACAAAAAGAGTACAATAAAAGCATTTTCAGAAATGGTAAGTAAACCATCACAGAAAGCTAAGTATATGCGAGCCCTTTCAAATAAGTACAAACACGATGGTTCTACTGTACGTGGTTCCGTCACTGAGATCCTGTACCCACCTTCGGACTACTTCGAAGTGCAACATCACGTAAGTGAAATCATCACAGACAGCTAGGTAACTGCGAGCCCTTTCAAATGAGTACAAACACGATGGTTTTACGTAATTCCGTCACTGAGATCGCGTACCCACTTTCGAACTACTTCGAAATGCAGCATCAGGTAAGTGAAATCATCACAAACAGCTAGGTGACTGCGAACCCTTTGAAATCATCACAAACAGCTAGGTGACTGCGAACCCTTTCAAATGAGTACAAACACGATGGTTTTACGTGGTTCCGTCACTGAGATCCTGTAACTACCTTCAGACTATTTCGAAGTGCAGCATAAGGTAAGTGAAATCATCACAATCAGCTAGGTGGCCGCGAGCCCTTTCAAATGAGTACAAACACGATTGTTTTACGTGGTTCCGTCACTGAGATCGCGTACCCACCTTCGAACTACTTCGGAGTGCAGCATCAGGTAAGTGAAATCCTCACAGACAGCTAGGTAACTGCGAGCCCTTTCAAATAAGTACAAACACGATGGTTTTACTTTACGTGGTTCCGTCACTGAGATCGCGTACCCACCTTCAAACTACTTCGGAGTGTAGCATCAGGTAAGTAAAATCACCACAGACAGCTAGGTAACTGCGAGCCCTTTCAAATGAGTACAAACACGATGGTTCTACTATACGTGGTTCCGTCACTGAGATCCTGTACCAACCTTCGAACTACTTCGGAGTGCAGCATCAGGAAAGTGAAATCATCACAGAAAGCTAGGTAACATCGAGCCCTTTCAAATGAGTACAAACAAGATGGTTCTACTCTACGTAGTTCCGTCACTGAGATCCTCTACCCACCTTCGGACTACTTCAGAGTGCAGCATCAGGTAAGTGAAATCACCACAGACAGCTAGGTAACTGCGAGCCCTTTCAAATGAGTACAAACACGATGGTTCTATTCTACGTGGTTCCGTCACTGAGATCCTGTACCCACCTTCGAACAACTTCGGAGTGCAGCATCAGGTAAGTGAAATCATCACAAACAGCTAAATGACTGCGAGCCCTTTCAAATGAGTACAAACACCATGGTTTTACGTGGATCCGTCACTGAGATCGCGCACCCACCTTCGAACTACTTCGGAGTGCAGCATCAGGTATGTGAAATCATCACAAACAGCTAGATGACTGTGAGCCCTTTCAAATGAGTACAAACAGTATGGATTTACGTGGTTCCGTCACTGAAATCCTGTACCTACCTTCAGACTATTTCGAAGTGCAGCATAAGGTAAGTGAAATCATCACAATCAGCTAGGTGGCTGCGAGCCCTTTCGAATGAGTACAAACACGATGGTTTTACATGGTTCCGTCACTGAGATCCTGTACCCACCTTCGGAGTGCAGGACTGTAGCATCGAACCAGCCAAAAATGGTTACGTTCATATTACTTTATATTTTTTCTTATTTGCTTATTTGCGGCTCAATAAATTCTCCGCCTATACAATAGAAGGAAACACGACAGTTTTCGGAACGCTGTATAAGTATTTACACAAAAGAAAATAAATCTAGGATAATTTATTTACCAATAATTTTGAAGAGCTTGGCCACGCTTCACTTTTGACTTGCTTTTGTATTTCGGCATTGTCAAGCTTAGTCTATTCTATGATACGATTATATACAAAACTAAAACTAAAAACGATTTTATTTACGTAAATCAACTTAATTTCTAATTTTTTATCAACTATTGCTAATGTACGTTTTATTTACAACAAATCTGTTTTTATAAATTTGAAATATTGTGAACTTTTTAATATTTTTTTCAGAAAATAACGCGCGCACAGTCCACCCGTCGCAAGAGTCGAACCGACACTAGTAAATATCCGTAATAGGCCATAGCGGGGGAGCTTCCGGGGGCGGAATGAGGCCGAATTATGTTTTACTATACTTTAAGAAAAATATTTAACAAAAATACAATAAAAACAATACATTTTTTTATTATGACTTAACAAATATTTCAATACAAATTTAATCTTAAACTGTTGAGCCTTTCTTGAGAAAAAATACAAAATAAGTTTAAAACAGCCTTTGTATTTGATTTTTTTTTGGAATAATGGTCAAATATTCAAAAATTTTAAACAATAAAAATAAATTGTTATGATCTAAACTATAAAACATATTTTTTTTGTAGCAAACAAACGAAAGGATTCGGCTATAACTTTTTGTAAACCTGGGCGTTTTTCACGATTTGAGCAATGTAACAGCCTTAATGTTTGACGAAATAAATTATTTATTATTATTATTATTAAATAGATTTATATAAATATGCCCTATTATTATATCGTAAAGCATAACAAACTTAGTAACCTTCAACAACATTATCGATACTTTGATGTCGAAAAGGTAACATTTCTAAAACCGGTTTTTACCTTACATTCATTAGCGTCACCTACTGCTACGACGTATATGATATGATTGTCGCTCTAAAATTCATGAAAAATGTAGCGACTATGTTCAGTTATTTTTTTTTAAATCAACTAACTAATACACAAATACTTATAACAATTTTTAATACAATAAATAAAGTTGAAGTTACAGCCTTAATATTTCCCACTTTTAGACACAGTCTTCCTCTTTTTTTATGTTTTAGGGCAAGAGTCAGCCGCGTTTCCCTAAATATAATAACTATTTTATATAATAATCCTGTATTAACTTTAAATACTTTCGCCATGTAGTTGCGGTGTTAAAATATCAACTAACCTCAATCATCCCGTGGGTTACGTAGTAACTATTTATCTAATCTTTGCCGTGGGTATCGTCATAGGTGACAAAGGGACATTGGCAGCAGCTTCTTCCTGATAACAACTGAAACTAAAAAATGCGATTGCCAACTCGCTTGCTAAGCCTGGAATTTATGTTAAATATAAGACGGAGTTTAAATATTGATGTATCGTGTAGGGTGATCCCACTAGATCCAGTGATAACCTGGTAAGACATATAGGAAGTTGAGTAATTCACATCGATCAGCACCGTGTTTTACTGCATTACTTTGAGAAACCTATGGGCAGCAGTGGACTTGAAAAGAACTGTAATGATGATTTTGAATAATAATTTTCAGTGGGTGTACCAATATTGATTGGCGCTCGAGCCTTGTTTATTAGTTCTACTAGAAGTCTGAAATATAAGGATGTTTTATTACTTATACACTCCAGAATACCAATAATTGTGTCTGAAACTAAAGCAATAACTAATTAATGCCCCACCATGCAAGCACAACATATCAATCACTATGTGTTAACTCCAAACATTTACCAATACAAATGGATGACACACCCACTTAGCGTAATGTTTGCCGGTTAATCCCGCAAGATTGATTTGTTGACTTTTATTTTACTGTCGTCCCAGTTTATTAAGCAAAGTTGATTTAAAAGATAAAGAGAAAAAAAGACAAGTTATTTGAATTATTTTATTTATTTTTCTGGTTAGTACAATAATAAAAATGTCTGACAAATACTCATAAAGTTGTACCGGCGATACCTAACAACGCTTCAACTGTAGGAACACAAATCTAATACGTTCATTTCAGGCTATCAATAGTCTACTGCTGAACATATATGGAAATGAAGGGTATATATCGGAGTCATGGATAGTCTCTATAGAAGATATTTGTCTTCTTGTTTGTGTAGTGATTAGTTGAACTGGTACTTTGTTGCAAAAAAGGGATTTTATGCACTCCATTTATTTTATGTATGAGGAAATGTATGAGGATATTACTAGAGCCATGCATTCCTCCAAAACCCAATATACGGTGTTAATGGGAGACTTCAAAGCAAAACTAGGCACAAGAGAGAACGGTGAGCTGAAGGTAGGGAAATTTGGAATAGGGCAACGGAACCCAAGGGGCCAGCAGCTGGCCGACTTCATGGAGAAAGAGGGACTCTTTATGATGAACTCTTTCTTCCAGAAGCGGCCCCACAGGAAGTGGACCTGGTCGAGCCCCAACGGTTCGACAAAAAAT